ACCATGGAAAATTTGAGAGTGTCAATGCAGATCGAGGGAGAACAAGAACACAAAGAACATTGGCGGCCGAAGAAGAAATATTGTTGAAAACCGGCCTCAATTAAGTTGTAGAAGACTAGGTCTTGAAATTGGAGTGTCCTCATTTGTTGTGTGGCGGACACTTAAAGAACAAGGTTTACATCCTTATCACATCCAAAAAGTCCAGGCCTTATATCCAGGTGATGAAGAAAAGAAAGTGGAGTTTTGTGAATGGATGAATCAAAAATGTGTTTATATTCCTGATTTTCTAAAAATATTATTGTATACTGACGAGGCTTCATTCACTCGTGATGGCGTGTTCAATATGCACAATACGCATATTTGGAGTGATGAAAATCCTCACGCCATTAGGGAAACTGGGCATCAAAGAAAATTTTCAATAAATGTTTGGGCTGGCATAATAGATCAGTATTTAATCGGGCCTTATGTTCTCCCGAACAGATTAAATGGGCCAGGATATCTCCACTTTTTAGAAGATATTTTGCCAGTACTCCTAGAAGAGATACCGTTACAATTAAGGCAACGGATGTGGTACCTACTAGATGGCGCTCCTCCTCACTTTGATTTAAACGTACGGCAGTTTTTGAACATTAGATTTCCTCAAAAGTGGATAGGCAGAAATGGACTTACTAAGTGGCCTCCGAGATCTCCGGACTTAAATCCATGCGATTTTTTTTGTGGGGTCACATGAAACAACTGGTTTATAATGAACCTATTAATAGTATTGAACAATTAACCAATAAAGTTAATGCGGTAGCCGAGGAACTACGAAAAAATCCAAGACTAATTTCTAATGTTCAAAGTTCTTTGGAAAGACAATTGCAAGTGTGTGTAAATAATAATGGACGGCATTTTGAACAATTACTGTAATAAACTTTATTTTGAATTAATTGGTTTTGCTACGGCAACAGTGCAATTTCTATGGGTAAGTTCAATTTTGATTTATTTTACTTCTTTAAATATGGAAAATAGTAGGTCGGAAAAGGGGACTCTTCCCCAATATTTAAATTTTAGAATTTGAAGTTAAAATTGGTGCCAATCGTTTTTGGTCATTACATACTATTCCCCATTTTAATATGTACGTGTATTTCAATAACACCCTGTATAATTTGTCTCAATATAGTATTTGAACTCAAACGAAAATAAATTAGTTCCAGCTAAAGTTTTCGCAGTGTATCTATCAAATCTTTTTACTATTTATTTATAAGGTAAAACAAGGTCATAGTGTGCTAATAAGTACATATGATGTAGACTAATTATTATAAGAAAATACTAGAATTAAGTGATCGCAATCGATACCAATAAAAAATGTAACAGCAGTGAAAGACACTTTAAAATGAATTAAGCAATACGTTGTGTTAAAAAATTAAAAATTGAGTAACAATTAGTTATTTTTCTAATATTGACAAAAATAAAATAACCATACGTTCCGATTTAGGCGGCACAGTCCCGATTTAACTTGTATCTCTATTTTGTTCCGCTTTGGCCCGATTTAAAATAAAAAATAATCTATAAATATTTCATTTGACCCGGATTGCTTTTTTTGCAATATTTTGGTTTTTCGTGATTCAATGAAAAAAAAATCACCATAAAGAGAACAAAATACCAACAGCATAAAGTGACCATTTTGAAAAGTAGAAAGCGGGACAAATTAAAAACATGGAGGGGGCAGAGTAGAAATAAAAACTGCTGGATCCATATTCTGTAAATATGCAAGTAGGTGAGACGGCGAGTAATCTCTTACAATTTGGCCGGAATCATGTAAATAGTTAGAGCAGTGTTGCCAGACGTAAAATAATTATCGTATTAAAACAGTTGCGGCTCATGACTAAAATATTTGGGGTCCACAATAACAGAGAATATAGATTTCAGTACAGATGTAGGTAAAAAATTTTCAGTGTTTTAGAAAGGTATAGGTATAGAAAGGTATAATGTATCGAAGACTCCAAAGTTTTTTACCTACATCTGTACTAAGATCTATCTTCTGTCATTGTGAACCTCCAATATTTTGGACACAAGCCACTACTGGTTTAAAATAATTATTACAGGGTGCTTCACGAATAAAACACTATATATTTTTGTAAACACTCAATAACTACAGTTGCGCCACAGAGAAATTATTTCATTCAGTTAATACAGGGTGATTCAAAATTAGGTGAAAAGATTTTAAGGGGGTATGTACCAGCCAAAAATAAGAAAAATTTTTCATATAATCACATACGATTATATGAAAAACAATTCTTATTTTTGGCTGGTTAATACGTCCTTAAAATCTTTGCACTCAATTTTGAATCACCCTGTATATTTTTATACAGCCAACCACCAAAAAATGTTTTGATATTATTGAAAAGACGACCTTTGATTTTTAGTGACTTAAATAAGTTGATAACATTACATAAGGTATGTAACCATAAAATTTTAAAATATACAGGCTAATGTAACTGTTTCTTTCAGAACACTCTTTCAGAAATGTTTACTGCATAATATTTTATTGCCAAAATACCATACTGTGTATTATTTTTTAAAAAGATTCCTGGCGTCACAGTAAAATTAGTGAGATTTTTGAAAAACTGTATGCCGTTCGTGAATATGCAACCCGACGTGTACTGCCGACCAGTGCTGCCAACCTGAAAATTCTAAAATCGGTAGATTCTTTCGTCAAAAATCGGTAGAAATCGGTAGATTTTAAAAAAGGAGGCTAATTTAAAAATCATATTTAAAATATGTAGAAAACAGACACAATTTGAATTTTGCAAAAAATATAATGGAAAAAATAATTTTTTTAATGAATGTACAAAAAGAGAATAACACAGACACATTAAAAAATAAAAACCTTGGGACCTTGGGTATTTATAAATAGATTTCAGCCAAGTCCGACTCAGCTGAGTCGTTCTTGAACGAAAATCGAAGTTCGGTTATATCACGTGAATTTAGAGATGGGTAGTAACAAATCCGTAAATGTAATAAACAGTTACAGATTTGCTACTATCCATCTCTAAATTCTAGTGTAACACCGGAACTCAATGGAACTTTAGAGAAGTTGTAACCGAACTTCGATTTTCGTTTAAAGACGACTCAACCAAGTCCGACTCAGCTGAGTTCTGTTTATAAATACGGTCCTAAGAAGCCAAATAATATTGTAACACGTAGATAACTTAAATAATTTATTCATAAAAAAACTTATAATCCAACATCAACTAATCAGCTGCTGCCCCATTCTCTTAGTCATTCGAAATTTTCTTGTAAAAATTCTAACACAAAACATTGCCATTGGTAAAATATTACTGGCATTTAGGCAACCAATATTTCTTTCTTGTATTGTTAGTTGCATATGCTTATTTTATTAGAAAATTAGAATCACGATTAGAACATCATTATTAATTATTTATTCTCAACGACTTTCAGTGTGTTTATATATTCTTTATTTAATTTATTTAATTTTCAAAAAGTGGGTTATTTTGTGGTGTATTGGGTTTTAATTATTTTGTGTTGATTTGTACTGGCAAATAAGGCCCAAAACAACATTATTACTAAGTTGTAAGTTTTACCAAATTCTGTTTTTATAATTCAAAATGCCCTTCTTCGATATAAACTCTCAATAATAATGTATATTATTGATTTTAAAACCGAAAAAGGTTTTATTTGTTTTCTTTTCAAAACTGGTGGCGTAATGACTTTCTCGAAACCAGTTTCATAATGTTCAACATTAGGCGACTGGTTGAATAAAGTAGATCATTTCGACACTTGCTAGGATTACAAAAAATGTCACTCTATAGGTCAAAATTAGAAAAATAATTAAAACACGACAAAAGAACCCATTTTTTTTTAAACTAAATACCTTTAATAAGCAATATAAATAAACACACTACAAGTCGTTGAGAATAAATAATTAATATGGTGTTCTATTTGTCAATAAAATGATGCATATGCAACCAACAATATAAGAAAGTAATATTGGTTGTCTAGATGTCAGTAGCGTTTTACCAAAACATAATTTTATAAATATTTTAGTCAAAATTAGATATGAAAAAAAATTTATTATTGATTTTAGAAAAAAAAGTTATTCTTGATAAAAAGTCCTACATGACTCAAAACTTAAAATACAGTCATCAGATATCAAATGTTTCAAGCCGTATACGAGGTTTGTCAAAAAATATGAATTTTGCTCAAAAGTAAAGTACGTTTATTTTTGACAAAATCGAAAATTTTATTAGGAAAAATTGCTAAATTCTTCACAAACATCAAGAAAAGGAAAGCGTTTTATGTTTACAGTTGAGAAGAGAGAGAAAAAATTATGGATTATCGTAAAGATGCAAAATCTAAAAAAAAAAATCTGATTTTTCAGATAGATCGGTGTAATTGCACATTTAAATGTAATTATCAATTAAAATCAACTTTTCTTAATGAACATTTTCGATTTTGTCAAAAATAAACGTACTTTACTCTTGAGAAAAATTCATATTTTTTGACAAACCTCGTATACGGCTTGAAAAATTTGGTATCTAATGACTGTATTTTAAGTTTTGGGTCATGCATGACTTTTTAATAAGAATAACTGTTTTTTTTTAAATAAATAATACATTTTTTTTATTTTGTGCCAACTTGAGTAGACACACTGTTTAACACGTTACGTTCATATTGTGGTACCTCGCTCTGTTCGTTACATAAAAAAAGGCATTTCGTAACTGGTGGCATAAATTGCTATTTTGTAACTAGTTAGGAAATGTCTTATATTTGTGTAACGAGTGAATATTTGTGGGACGAGCAGATCCGTTTTTATATTCAGGGTTACCCCGCCCCATCATCGGTTGTAGAATAACTTAAATGTACCTGCTGGTTTAATTAATTGCCCAGTACTGGTATTAGCAGACCGACAAATGTGTTAGAAACAGGGAGTAAAATATAGAGGCAATTATTTCAAGAAAGTTTTCATTTTAATTAATAAAATTCTAACATCTTACCGTATGTGCTTGCCTAGCTTCTTCAATATAATGCGTTGTGATTATGACCGTTTTGTTTCCATCTTTCGTAATCTGTACAAGGTGATTCCATATACTTTGCCTAAGTAAAGGATCTACGCCTACCGTGGGTTCGTCTAGAATTAAAAGTTCTGGATCGTGCATTAATGCTACAGCGAATGAGACTCTTCGTTGTTGTCCGCCACTAGAAACAAAAAATACAAATCAAAATCTTATTCGTAAATTGTTGTTGTCGTTGTTGTTATTGTTTTTGTTGGAGAAAGCTTAAATTTTTTGTAAACCTTCAAAAAGTACTTATTTTAAAAATTTTTAAAAGGAAAAAAACATTTACGCAGCATTCTATAATATTAAATCAATGAAAATTTACTGCTTTTTGTTTTAATAAATATCTAGTAGTTTTTGAATGGGAAGATTTTTATCTTTTCATCTGGTGAGAGGTTCTATAAGTATGAGTTTATTGATTCTTTCCTGGACTTTTGAAATTATCTTCCCAAGTTTTACTGTTTATCAGATAGCTCTCTGGATTGGCGCCATCGTCTTCTTGCTCTTCTTTGTTCTCTAACAAGTTCTGATCTCAACTTGGTAGTTTATTTCTTTTGTCAAATGGGTAATTTTTCTGATGTTATTGTAAGCAGCTGTTTGAACAATTTTGATAAGTTTTCAGCTGCCTCATCAAGTTGTTTAATTCAGATTAGTCAACTCTTAAAATAATATTTCGATGTGTGTTTTAGTTTGTGTTATTTTTAATGTAAAATTTTCCAATTGAAGAAATGAGATACCTTAAGTTTTAAAATTATGTTAGAGGTAATTTAGATTGTAGTTGAAATGGCGCAAAACTACCAACCTTGCCAAGGAAAAAATGCTGTGATAATAGTAATAATGACAAAATGAAATAATCTACTGAACAAAATTAACACAATAATTTATTAAATCGAACCGTTAATTTATGTTTATTGTGTCCAGGAGCTTATACTAAAAAGTTCCGGCTGTGCATGACTCAAATATTATAAACTATTAAAAAATCATTAAAAATTATTCCATGAAGTATTAATAATCAAAGAACAATCAACAAGGACAGAAAAATGTAATAGCAGAAATATAATTAAATATATAAAATATTAATACAATTATTATTTTTTCTTTTCTTTCCGATTTAAATAAGAATGGAAATGATTACGTACACTGTCAAGGTTACTCTGCTTTCAATCTTGATTTTTTTTCAGAAAACTGAAAGCAATTTTATGATAATAATATATAAAATATTTCTCTATCAGATCCAATGAATGCATTTAGTTTATCTGTTAAAACAAATTTATCAGCAGAATACAAAGTGGCGTCTAAAATTATTTTGACACAATTGGGTTAGTTTAAAATGACGTATTTAATTGTAATGCAAGAAGACTTGTATTATGCCATAATAATTAAAATGAAACACAAATTTTATCATAAATTATTTTTGTTAATTTAAAAGGCGATATTTAAAAGAAGGCTGTTTCGTATCAGTAGAATCACGTTGTCTTGTAATTTGTTTGATGAGTTAATGTTAAGCTGGTACTCTCAGTTGTCATTGCCGGTTTGTGAAAAAATGTAGCCCAACTACATACATTTTTGTAATCGTTTATTATTGAGGAATTAGAAATTTAAAAGTAACACGAAGGTGTTGACGTAATTAGTACATCCAGTTGTATAGTAAGACGTGCAGTTGAAAACAAAAATTTTGTTAAAATACTGTATATAATAGTTTAGGGCTGATAGATCTTCTAATAGTGAGCAAGATATTTTGAATGGTAAGCATTTGTAGCTACCTATAAAATTACACAGGCCTGCGTTTAAATACTCTGTAAAATGTGAATTGAAGTTTTCAACTGAAATTGGGTATTTCAGTGACGCTATTTCAAATCTCCTTTTAGTTTTTTTCTATCACGTAAGGTTTTTAAACAAAATACTACAAGAATGCAGAAAATAAAAATATATTTATAGATACTTAGGATAAAAAAGAAAATAATAAACCAAGAAACCAAGTAGTTGAAAAATAACATACATTAATCCTTTGTTTTCTTGAAAAATCTTTCTCTCTTTCGGAAAAGCTTCTTTTTGTTGTTTTTCGAGCATATTCTGCGGTAGGGCGGTCCCTTTTAAGCATTCAACAGTAGTCGGCCATCATTTTGATACCCCAGCGCCCTTAATATCGCCGTTCCATCTCTTTTATGTCCTGGTGAAAGCGCTCCCCTTGCTCTTCACTGATATCGCCAAGATTATCCGAAAAATAGTCAAGATTAGCATGTAGACAATGACTTTTTAAGCTCATGTTATAGTCTAACTTTCTAAATTTGTCCAACATGTTTTCAACAATACTTTCAAATTTAGGGTCATTGTAGTTTCCTAGAAACTTATTTATAACTTGTTTAAAAGCTGTCCATGCTTCTTTTTCGTCTTCCTGCATAACCGTCTCAATTTCATTAGTTTTCATCAACCTTCTTATTTGTAGCTCAACAAAGATGACTTCTTTTAATTTAGCTTCAGAGAGACCCGGAAATGTTTCACACAAGTACTTAAAGCAACCACCATTTTCGTCTAGAGCTTAGACAAATTTTCTCGGGATCAACTAGGCTTTCCCGAATTACGTTTTTGGAGCCAGGCGTTAAATTTTTTCTTGGTGGCCAGTTTTTTTTGGTCCAGTGGTCATCTCTTGCTCTACTGTCGCACTCACATAGGAAGCATGGATATTTCGTATATCCGGATTGTTGACCTAAAAGTAACCCTAAAATTTTAAGGTCACCACATAGAATCCAGTTATGTTGTCTGTAGTTTATTCTTAAAAGCAGTACCTCAAGATTTTCGTAATTTTCTTTTAGCTGAGTAGAATGACCAACAGGAACAGATGCATATAAATTGCCATTATGAAGTAAAACAGCTTTAAGACTTCTCTTTGAAGAGTCTATAAAAAGTCTTCACTCCGCAGGATTGTATTCAGGAGCACCTAGGTGAATAACCAAGTCAGATACATTTTGACAATATACAAGTAAACCAGCTGCGGCAAAGTAATTGACAAATTCAGCCTCACGATTTCTATACCAATAAAATGTAGTACCTGGAGCAAGTATTTTTTTTTCTTTAAGCCTTGATCCTAAAACCTCAGAGAGGTCTTTTGGAAGTCCCAAATCCCTGTCATTTAGTTCTACTTGAGAAAATAGCTGCGGTTCACGGGTTCCTGAGGTAGATGGCTCAAAAATGTCAATTTCTGAATCTGTTGAAGATTCTGATTCGATAGACTGTAATACTTTAGTGGAACAGCTACAGGTATATCAGCGTCATGTGGAACTGGTCTAATTGCAGACGAAAGATTAGGATAGTTAATATACTTAAGAGATTTTGTGTTATGACCTTTAATATCACAAAGACAAAAATAGCAGTCGTCAATGTGATTTTTAGGTTCTCTCCAGACCATTTGCCCTTCAAACGGTAGGGCTTTTCTTGTTCCTTTAAACCAATGCCTTAAGGCTTCTTCGCAAATCTTGCAGACAACATGTGGCGCCCAAGGTTTATCTTGATCTCCAAGTCTAACTTTAAAATATGCAAAATATGCATTTTTTACGAAATCAGTAATGTTTTTTAATAGACAACGAAATACCGATAGAATCCGATAGAATTCGATAGACAACGCCTGTCTCAATACCACGGGGATATTAAATATATCGCCCTCTTTCCTGAATAAATCTAGTCTCGGGGAATCCCCAACAATATTCTAGTAAGCACCGGTAAATCCCCCTACAAATGCGCAAATAAAAACGAGGTTTTACCGCGTCTCAACGTTTTGAACAAAAATAAGGAATTCAAATTAATTTGTTTGTAATGTTCAGGGATAATACCCTTGATACTAGTTTACAAAAAAAGGGGGCTCGCTGTTGGCCCGTGCCCGGCCCGTTATATCTATATGCACCTAGGTCAGGGCCAATAACGGGCGCAGGTTCGTCAGGTTTGCACGGTGTCGTATAATAATGACTCTAGTAAAAAGATGCAGGAAAATTAATTTGAATCGCTTTTTTTCGAAAAATTTGTACCATCAATCAAATTAATAAGGGGATTGGTCGAGTAGATATTTCCTTCCGATTACATTTGATGCGATCAACAAAGAAAGGGAAAACCTACACATACGTCACTGAGTGTGCAATTTAAACAGTGTGCCTAGGGCAAAGAGTAGCTAACTTATTTCCTGTCATAAATCCAACAAGAAAAAGATTTAAAATGTCTTTATTTTGTGACACAATGTATACTATTACTATACTAACATGTTCTAGACCAGATCGGTGGTTAAAAATTACAATGAATTGAAGGACACACGTGAAATGCGTTGATAGCCTTTCATTGGTATTCAGTGTAAATTATTCTTGTACATTGAGTGAACTGTGGTAAAAACGGGATAATTTTCTTGAAAAAATCACACAATAGATCCCGGCAGGTGTTTTAGTAACGGAGGCAAGCACATTCATTGTATACTAACTAGATGACTCAACAAAATAAATTTTAGTATTGTGTTTAAGATGTCTTATTTTAAATAAAATGTAAAATTTACCAAAGCTAACGAACCATAAAATTTATTCAATTTATGTGTCTATAAATAAATATATGAATGAACGCGTAATTTTAAGTGATCGTACATTAGCTTTTCTTTCTAATGAATTATTAAAGGGAAACATTGGGCTGAAGGACTTTGGTTGACAGTCCGTTGGGTATAGTAACTTATTATTTAAATAAATGAAGTACCACTTGACAGTAAATTCGCCTTGGCTAAAAAAATATAGGTTCATAATTTTTTGCTTGGCCCTATTATCACTAGTAATACCACTAGAGGTCAAATTATTTCCGGAAATTTTTTCGAGCTCATGAAAATTTTCTAAAAATATTCATGAGCGAGAAAAAATTTCCTGATATTAATTTGACCTCGCGTGGCATTCGGTAAGAAAATTCCACGCCGAATTATGGTTGAAAATTAAATATTTTTAAAATTTATTTTTCGTTTCTCAACAATGCAAATTATTTTCTCCAAGTCATCAGTGAAACATAAAAGGTGTTGTCGCCTTGATTGTTGAGTTGTCATGGTAACTAAGTGAGACCCTAACCTCGAATATAATTTCAGTTTTAAAGTAGTCAAGCGGCCCGACGTAAAAAAATGTTTCGCTTCGGTCAAGAAAGCAAAGAAAATATTCGTCAGGAGATTGAGCAGTTGACACCCGCGAATACCAGAAAATCGAAGTCAAGCGTATGGAGGCAGTTTACAAACTTTTGCGCAGAAAAATCATATAATTTCGATAGAGCGGATATACCTGTGGAAGAACTGGCGCTTATTCTTGAAGATTATGGGTTCAACATGCGAAAAAAGAATTCTGAAGATTACAAGGAGAGTGTCATCAAAGTTTTATGGAATTCCACAGCTAAGCAGTTGCAGGAATATTTTTTTGAAAAATATAATCGCAAATTCAATCCATTCTCTGACATAGAATTTTTGAACGCAAGAGCTGCAAAAAATGCTAAGCGCCGGAAGCTACAAATGGATCCAAGCAAGAGAAAGGAAAGTTCATCTGCACTATCAACAGACGAGCTGAGAAAAATCATTGAGATTTGGGACGAAAACACTCCGGAAGGACTGCAGAAAAAGTTTTTTTACGTTGTTGCTCATGAATTGGCCTGGAGAGGAAATGAAGGAGCGGCAGCACAACTAGAATATTTTGTGGAGGAAATTGACAATAGAGGAGAACCAACAGGCCGCATTGAGTATAACCCGGTTTTCTCCAAGACCACCCAAGGCGGTTCAAAGAAATTAGCTGACAGTAAGTGGTTAGTACCGAATACACTCAACGAAGAAATATGCCCAGTGAGACTGTTCAAAAAACTAACAAGCAAGCGAGGTCCTATCAAAACGAAGCGTCTATTTTTGATGCCGAATCCAAACTGGGAGAATCCCAGTTCCAAAGGCTGGTACAAAAACAGTCCAGTTGGACAGAATACAATATCTTCCTGGTTCAAATCCGCTGCATCATTGATTGGAATTGATGTTAAAAAGATCAAAATAACTAATCATTCTGCAAGGGCTACTGCTGTTTCAACTTTAGCCAAAACTGGAATTGGAGAACAGCAATTGATTAAAATAACCGGTCATGGTAGCAGTCACTCAATAAAACCATATCTGCAAATAGATTCGGCACATCATCAGGAAATAATTGATGCAATGAGGTCTGCTTCAACTTCGGCAAAGACGATTCAAGAATCTCTGAATCAAGAACCAGCAACTACTTCCAAGCAACCTTCCATAGTTTATAATAATTGCGTTATCCACATAAATAATAATTACAATAGTCCAAATAATATAAATAATTAGATTTAAGTGTTATCAATTGTAACCGTATTCATATTATAAAATAAAAAAACTAAAATTATATTTTGTTATATTATTTTTCAACTCTTGGAAACCCAGCTAGGCAAATAAAAATTTCGATAACATCCTCTAGGTCTATGGTTAAAAACCTGCGATAATTCTGAAATTTTTACTCATTGTAGTTGCATGAAAATGGCAACCTAAAGCGTAACATAATATATTTTTCTATTTTATATCAATTTTGGATAACTACAAGTGTTAGAAAGTTATAATTTTATCAAATTTAATTTAATGTGCTTTGCAATTTCGGTAATGGTTTCTCAGCCTGCCCTTTAATCAAGGTATATTGTTTTCTACTCATTGTAGTTACACAGTACTGCAGTTTTATGATGAAATATATTACATTCTCTGATTTTTTATTTACTTCGGTCTACTACAAGTGGTAGAAAACGAAAAAAATATTATTTTTGTATAGATACATACGTACAGGAACAGTTTTTAGGTACATAATAATATTCAGTTTGTCTTTACACCAATGGACCCTATAAACTGTTGATTTCTACCGATTGTAGTACCTCAAAAGTGCCATTTAGGAACGAAAAATGTAATATTCTTTTATTTTATAGTTACATCAGCTTACTACAAGTGGTAGAAAATTATAATTTTAGAGGTTTTTCGGAAAGCTGCATGAAGATTCACAACGCGTCATAGCTTTGGCTGCAATTATTTAGGCCTTCAAATTGCTTATTTCTACTCATTGTAGTTGCATGGGAATACCATTTGAAAATAGAAAATAGTATATTCTTTAATTTTACGTAAGTTTTGAATAACTACAAGTGGTAGAAAATTGTTTTTCTGCGTTTTTATTAATATGCGTTATGAGCGCTTTAAAATGGTATGAAATTCATAACCAGCGTCAGCAAGCATCAATCGTAGGAGGCTGTGATCATTGTATTTTGACAGTTCAAAACATTAAATAACTCGCGTTTTGTTGCGATAAAGAATATTGCACAGCAAGTAAAACCAACAAAATTACCTATTTGTTTAAAAATGAATCGATTTGAAAATCATACGCTATGCAAAATATGCGTGAAATTGTCTGATGTAATGATCAATCATCGCACCATGACTTACTTACTCGAATTAATAGAGGATTGTAGCTCCAACTTGAAAAACGAAAATTTGTTCCGAATTGTCCACGAATATTTGCACCTAAACTACGCAAAATTCAAAGTGCTGAATGGGAAAAAGGTGAATAAATTAGTGTCTAAATATTATATATATGCATTTTCGCCATTAAGAAGAAAAGAAGTGGCCAAAGAATATACAAAACACCTTAGCATTGTAACTAAAATGTATCAAAACTAAACCTATTATGTGAACAAATAAAAACCAGTCTGTCAAAAATGGTCTGTTATTGTAAACGTCAAAAAATTTCCAGTATAATTCGCTGTTGGGTACCCCACGAGAAAAAAATTTCCACTAAAATACCTCCGTTGTCATGGTGATCTGTCAAAAACACGTATTTTGATTGGTTCAAAATTACAGGTGTGGAATTTTCAGCTTAACTTTAAAATTTGATGGACACGCCGATCTAAATTGCTCTAAAATGACTAAAATTCTTCCGGAAACATCAATTTTGGTGGACCGGTGTGATCCAGAAAATGCAATGCAAAATTCTAAAAACTATCCGTCAGTTTAATGTTGATCGAGTGTTGAAGTATATCTACATGTTAGAAAAGGGTCCATCTAGTGGTTTTTTATCATATGTTATTTTGACACTGAATCTCCGCGGACCTTTCCAATTGACTCAGCATTTGAAGGTACACGATCATCCGCGCTATCGCTTCTCAGTTTGGGCCTTAGAGCAGCTTCCAAATGGACAACGATTTTGCTTAAAAATTATCTTTTCTGACGAGGCACAATTCATCTCGGCTACAGAGGCATAATAAACAATTTTTTGTGGTCGGAAATTGAAGACATGGACTTGGACGACCTTTGATTTCAGCAGGATGGCGCGCCGTGCCAGACAGTTCATGCCACAATCGATCTTTTGTGCACCAAGTTCGGTAATCGGATTATCAGCCGACTCAGCGATGTCAATTGGCCACCTCGCAGCTGCGATTTGACGCTTTTAGACGTTTTTTGAGGGGTGTCGTGAAGGACCGATATTATGCGAACAATCCATTAACAATTTAGGCCCTCAAGGCGAATTTCGAGCAAGCCACTCGTGAGATAGAGCCAGAAACCGTCACCAATGTCTTGGAAAATTGGGTTAACAGGATGCGCTACTGCGAAGCCAGCCGTGGTAGTAGCCACATGAATGAAATTGTGTTCCATAAATAATGGAAATGTTTGCGCTTTCGAATAAGCCGATAATATACAAAACAAAATTGATTTTTGTTTATTTTTTTTAATTTTAAAAAATAAATTAGTGAAAGAAGATTCTTGAGGTGGGAAAAATAGTATATAAGAACACTGCTATGTTATAACCATTATTTCAAACTTAATACTACCTAAATATGTTTTCTGTAATTATTAATAAGTAAAGAATAAGTACCTAATTTGGTTTAAAAAAAGAATTTATATAATTCTATATTAGGACGTTACTTAATTAGTAGTACCTATATTTTAAGTGTATTAAAATATCATTAAGATTTTAATTCCTACACTTAAAAAAATGAACAATCATAAATCATTAGAATGTAAAAAAATACATAAAAACTTACCTAAGATTCTTAACCATTCGATTTTGACTAGGTAAATCCAAAAAGTTAAGTAAAAACTGCAGTCTTTCGTTAATCTCTCTGGACTCCATACCGAAGATCCACCCGAAATACATCATTGTTTCTTTAATGGTGAATTCTCCGTAAAGAGCTATTTCCTGTGGCATGTACCCTACCCGTTTGCCGGGTACCCCGGAACCTTTGGTACCTATAATTAATTTAATATTAAGATAAGATCCATACTCTATATTTCGATATACGTAATACTAAGAATAATAATAGATCTGCAATATTAGATTGAAGTGTATAGGAATTAAAAAATCGCTATCTGATAAAAAATATATTCTATTCAGAAGGATGAGTGAGTAAATGTTAAAAGTTACGTAAAATAATTAATAGGCAAAATCAGAATCAGGTTGAATTAAATTCTAATTATATGAAGAATCGCTGCTGATTTAGACTAGCGAATAAATTAATTTCACCAGATAGTTCTGACGGCTATCATAAATTAAAATTTAATAATATTCACTTATTCATGACCTGTAAAACAAGATGCAGGTAATACAGACGAAATATTTTTTATTCTATTTATAATTGGATTGTCATGGGATATATCTTAATAGAGATATACTTTTAGTTTGAAGGAAAAAGAAAAATACATTTTTGAATAATTTTTTTATAGTGGATTTTCTTGTAGGGCCAAAATGAGTTTACTATTAAGCAAGGATATCACCTGAATCAGATAAGCTAACTGATTTAGATACATAACCTAATTTTACTTTTCTATTTAGGACAGTCTTTGGAAAATATTAATACATATTTTCATTCTGTTAAGTTTTATTTTTAACCATCTTTGCTGCTTCAAAATGCTTTTAAAACCCAAAATAATATTGCTTCCATCATTATACTAAACGTATTATTTGTAATATAATATACTGTACCTGGTCGACCACCCAGCACCCATATTTCTCCCGTATTTAACCTCCTTCTTCCTACTATGCAGGAAAGCAGCGTCGTTTTCCCACAACCTGATGCGCCCAGTAGACCATATCTGAAAGGGAAAGCGTGCGAATTTAATTGATTGATTTAATTATTGTTACATAAATATAGCACGCGTTACGTCAATGGGTTTATTGATGTTTTGTATTTTTTACATAAGTGTACAAAATAATCCCTGTGAATAGAAATTTAAAAATGTTATTAGAGATTTTTGATAGAAGAGGAACAGTGTTTATTAAAATTGCGATTAGGAGTGTTATTGCTCTCGGCGCTCGAGTTTATTTTATTATTTTCAAGGTAAATTCACAGCATGCATCTCCTCTAATGCCCCCACCTCAAAATATAGAAACCATTGTATTTATAACTGGCAATCAGCAGGCGGTGGGCAAACATTAGTTTTAGCCGGACTCAGGATAATTTGGAAGAATTGTTGCACTTGGTATTATTGAAGTAGTAGTGGGAGTGTTCATAGAAATAACCATTTTAAATATTGTATAAGGTGGTATTTGAGACTAAATACTTGGGAAAAAAATGGATTGTTATTTTAAGAGAAAAAATTTAAAACCCAGCTTCTTTAATTTATATAGAGCAAAACAATTAATAGTTTTAAAAATAAAACACGTGGGTACGATTACAGTAAATACTGGTTTTCTCTCAAAATAATAAATGTATAAATTATTGTGTTCGTTGCATTTAAATCCAAATGAGAATCCATAAGAGAGTTATTGATTTACATTCCCCATCAGAAATTGTGAAACAAATTACTTTTGTCAACATTGAGTCAGGTGTAGAGGTAGAAGCAACCATTGCAGATGCCTAAACATTTGTTTTATTTGTTTAATTAACACACAACCACAACAGTTTGTTTGTTGGCGTGGCAAAGTACTCTTCAGCAACAATAAAAAATAATTAAAGGTAAGATTCCAGTTTTGCCGGATATTATAAACATTTCAGTAAATTTTAAGTAACCAATCTTCTCTCTCAGTATGTTATTAAATATTTTAATGACTTGCAAACCCAAGGGTCCGCGGTTCGAACTCCACCGTTTGCAGGGATTGTTTTATTTAATTTAGTTATTTAATTTTAGATGCATATGCAGGATTCTCCACTCCAACCATCCTAAAGGTGGGAAAGAGAAACAAGGCTTGTCTGTAAGCGTGTATTAAAGTACTAGCATTCCTGCAATAGAGAGAGAGAGAGATATGCTTTATTGTCGTAAAAAAATTTACTAAACATATTATAAAAAATAACTAAACAGCAGAAAAAACAAACAGAAACAAACAGACAAAATAGGAATAACAATTGCAATGGATATGCAATATCCGTCATTATAATTATTCAAATTTAATTTTTATATTTAAATTTAAACTTTAATATTTAATTATTTAATTAATGCCATTGTATGTGGAACTCAAATGTCTAAGGTACGTTATAAAATTCTGCTACTGTGTAATATGGTCTTTCTAGAAGAAAAGCTTTAGCCAGTCTTCGGAACTTATCGTATGTATTTATAGATTTTAATTGCATCGGAAGGTTATTATACAATTTTTTGGCATTGTAGGTAATGGAATGTTTTAATAGGTCAGAAGTGGGCATTGTTAAATAAACATCAGTCTCTAAATTTCTTGTAGGATATCTACGAGTCGGTCTTTCGGATAAATTTTGAATGTGCTTGCGAACTAAGCAGACGGATTCGAAAATAAATAGAGCAGGAAGGGTTAGAATTTTGAAATTTTTGAAGTAATTTTCGCAATGTGTCCTACTACTTAAACCAAATACATAGCGGATTGCTCTTTTTTGCAGTTTAAAAATAGATTCGAAAAGGTATAAGCTACAAGAACCCCAGAAAGGTAAACCATAGCGAAGGTGAGATTCGAATAAGGAAAAGTAGGTTATTAATGCAGTAGAAGGAGTCAGCTCTTTAGAAACCGATTTAATGGCAAAACATGCGGAGGATAATTTTTTTGCTAAGGTATCTATATGAGCATACCATTTTAGAGAATCGTCTATATAAAGACCTAAAAACTTGATTGAAGTCACCGTTTGGATCAGATTATTGTTTAAAGTTATAGGTTGTAAAGTACCTCTGTAAGACAATGCTACAGTTTTACTGGTGTTGAAACAAAGTCCATTCGAATCAGACCAGGACTTAATAGTCACTAGATCTTCACTTATGATAGATTGTAATGTCTGCATGTTAGAATTATTCCAGGTTACACTGGTGTCATCAGCAAATAAAGTAATTCTACCACTTATTCTTAAGTCTGTAATGTCGTTGATGAATAATAAAAACAAAATTGGACCTAATACTGATCCTTGAGGTACTCCACTGCTTATTGCTAGATTAGTAGAATCCTCACCATTCGCCCGCACCTGTTGATTTCTATTTTCTAGGTAAGTTTTAAACCATTGTAAAGGAGAACCCCGTATGCCATAAATTTGTAACTTATTAATTAAAATATCATGATTTACACAATCGAAGGCCTTTGCGAAGTCACAAAATACTGAAGCGGTGAAAAGTTTATCATTAAGTGATGTGTATATTTCATTAAGAACGGAAAACATTGCGTCGCTAGTGCATTTTTTAGGTAGAAAGCCATACTGATGAGCTGTGAGGATGTTATGCTTGAAAAGAAAGGGCAAAAGACGGTTTTTCATTAGCCGTTCTACTATCTTCGATAAGGTAGGCAATAACGCGATAGGTCTATAATTACAGGTTTTGGTTTTGTCGCCACCTTTATGAAGTGGGATTATTATAGCTGTTTTTAGACAGTTAGGAAAGAGACCAATTTCAAAGGATTCATTAATCAGTGAAGTTAAAATGTTGATTACTACATCCGGTATATTTAGAAATATTTTGGTGGACAGGCCATCAATTCCACAGGAAAATTTATTTTGGATGTTGTTTATGGTTTGCACTAGTTCATGCTTGTCTACTGGTCTTAGGAAGAAACTTTCAGTGATCCTTTTAGTAGGTAGGAGGAAGGAGAGAGCATCCTGACTCGGAGCTATGTTAGATTTGATATTTTTACTTACATTTACGAAATAATTGTTTAGTTCATCTGGGCTAGGATTTACACTGTTTGAAGAACGGGTTTTATTCCTTAAGTCATTTATTATAGACCAGGTTTCTTTGGAGGAGTTTTTAGCTCTTGCGATGCGATTTTTGTAATAGTTTTTCTTAGCAGATTTGGTGATTTTCCGATACAATATTCTGTAGTTGTTGATATAGTTTAATATTAGGGGATTATCTGTGTACTTTTTAATATACATGAGTGACCTCATATTTTTAGATGATGTTCTTATTCCTTTAGTTGTCCAAGATTTATGACATTTAGTTTTAATGGGGCGAAGGGGAAAAGCTGTATTGAAACACATAATTATTTTATTTAAGAAGTCTAAAAATTTAGAGTCAATTTCTTCAGTAGTTAGACATAAATTATAGAAATTTTTGAAATTATGCTTAGAGAAAATTCTACCTAGCTGACGGACTTTTTTTGGAGCTGTACGGGGTATCAAAAATTTGGCAAATACTGCTTCGTGGTCTGAGAGACCTGAGTTAATTACTTGGTGCTCTACATCAACGGGTTTAAAATCAGAGACTACATAATCTATAATTGTAGATGTTGTTTCTGTGATTCTAGTTGGAGAATTTACGTGCATAGTGAGACTGAATGATTCAAAAATATTGATCAAAGACTTTTGAGTAGCACATACATTAGCAAAGTCAATAATAAAATCGCCGCATAAAATTTTCTTACTTTTTATAGGCAAGGCGTCAAGTAGATTAAGAAGATTCTCTAGAAAGAGGTGAACATTTGATTTAGGTGTTCTATAAATACAAATAATAAACAAATCAATGTTTTTGTTGTTTACAATGGAAAATTCGAAGAAATTTTCAGCTTGTAGAAAGTCGTATTTAGATACAGCAGAAAAGTCCTTGTCTAAGGATAAAATTAGAGTTCCACCATCGTCTGTATTACTTCTATCATATCTGCTGACGATAGTATATTTTTCGACAAAAACTGGTTCACCAACTTGTAACCAGTGTTCTGTAATAGCAACTATTTGGGGAAACCCTAACTCTTCCAAAAACAAATACAATTCATCAGTCTTATTCCGTATTGATCGAATATTAATTAGAACCATTCTTAATTTACTGTCGGCATAGCCAGTAAGACTAGTTATAGTAATAAACTCAGAGGCGGATAGGACCCCTTGGACCGGCGCGGCAAGTCAATTAAAACGGCGCCGTGCCAAACCAGCAAAAAAATTAAAAAGCATAAATTTTTATCCCTTGAATTTTATAGCAACGTGACAACGTCTAATTTCATGAGTTTATGACGTCTATTGGAAATTTCGTTGCATTTAATGCAGATTTCCTTTAATTTCAATTTAGGGGTAACATCAAAAAACTGTTATCAATGAAAATTTGTAACTTTGTACACAAACTCTATATTTCATTAAGAATTGCGAAAAATATAGATTTATGTTTTGAAAAGAAAATGTTATTTAGTCCCTTTTCTTTACATACTTATATGACATATGCAAAACAAAAAACATAAATAACAAGAAACACTACTATTGCTCAGGTAATATATGTCAACGATCTAAAATCATCAAGTACGTTTCTTTTTTTTTATTGGAGATTAGCCATTATCATTTGATATTCATCTCTGTTCTGTATATGTAACGTGTGGAGGGTGTGTTACCCCCACAGCACTTAGGCCTCATTAGGCCCATTGTGCATCCTCCTGAGAGGCACCTCCTAGCTCGTGAACCAGCCTACAGATTTATTGTAGTTGACAACGTCGCCAAGAGGTGCGATACTCGTCGAACACAAATCTTCTAATAAATGAGAGCGTCGAGCAATCGTAAAGGATGTGCTCGATGGTCTCATCTTTGTGTTCGCACCCTCTGCAGAGTGCGGATTCTGACAGCCCCATGATATGGAGATACTTTCATACTTGGCAATGACCAGACACAATGCCTTTGACTAGGCTCAGATTCTGTCTAGTCATAGTCAAGTATTTGTTTGCTGCAGTGTTGTCA